CAGCTTGGGCTTCACTCTCTCCGCTGCCCTCCAAGGCCCAAGACTCCCTGGCTCCTCGCACCCTGTGCGGGGCACAAGGGCGCCACGTCCTGCTCTGCGCTCCCCGCCTCCCTCCAAGGCCCCAAACCCTCCAATTCTGCGTCCAGCTCCTCTGCACCCCGGGCTGCTCTCTGCCCTCCAGGCCCCAAGATTCCCCAGCTCCACGCCTCTCTGCACGCCCAGCCCAGCCCCAGCCTCCACAAGGAAAACAGCAGCTCCCAACTTCATCCCAGCCCCAGCAGGCATCTTGGCCTCGCAGTTAGATTTCAGAAAAACTTTCTCAAAGAAAGCGGCATAGTTCTAGGTGGGGGTGTGAATGCCCCACATTTCCCATGCCCGAGGTTCGAACTCGTGTTTCTGCAACGCCCCCCTGCCTTGGAGATGTAATGACAGGGCTCTTCAAAACAGTGCATGGAATTAACATTTAGAAGAGCACTGGCAAAGAAGACCTCACATGGGCAAGTTGTAGGGAGATTTCCCCATGACAATCCAAGGAGACTGTAAATTAGATTCTACTAGTAGTTCACTTACTTCCCTTGGCCAGTGTGACCCGAGACAACTGAGGTACACACACTATCGAGGTTCAGTTTCTGATTCATCAAGTGAGTGGGATTTCATCTCTCAGGTGTCTTCTAGCTCTGACATTCTTTGGTGAACTTTTATAAGTTTTCCCGGTTTATTGTTAGGTTTTTTAGTTACTAAGAGAAACTAGGTGCAGACTATTCCATCAGGTAAAACACAGTTTGTTTCTACTTCTAACCTTAGACAAGCACTTTTTTTTTTTTTTTTTTTGCTTTTGCTTTTTCGAGACAAGGTTTCTCTGTAGCTTTGGAGCCTGTCCTGGAACTACTGCTGTAGCCAGTCTGGCCTTGAACTCACAGAGATCTACCTGTCTCTGCCTCCCAAGTGCTGGGACTAAAGGTGTGCGCCACCACTGCCTGGCTCTAAATGAGCACTCCTTAAACTCAGAAGGACCTATGACTGACCAAACAGGATTCTCATCTTTCTATACACAAAACTTACAGAACTCATTCAAGTGCCCAGGCAATGACCAAGGCAAAATCCTACACTAGTGGAGTCTTCTTTAGGAAAAGAATAACCTGGCTATAGCCCATGGTGGTGCACATCATTAACCCCACACTCTGGAGGCAGAGGCAGACAGATATCTGTGCTCAAAGCCAGCCAAAGCTAGGTATTGAGACCTGGTTTCAAAACAAACAAACAAACAAACAAAATCAAAACAAAACAACAACCAAAAAAAAAACCCTGAAGACTGCCTGCCAGACAAGCACGAGGACCTGAGTTAGGTTCCCAGCACTCACATAAAAGCTGGTCATTGGCATGTCTATAGTCCCAGGACTGGGAAGTTGGAGAAGGATAGGTTTCTGGAGGTTATTGACTAGCCTGTCTACCTAAAGTAATAACAAGGCTCGCCTGTCAAAAAACAAGGTATGGGCTAGAAAGGAGGATCATCGGTTAAGAGCATGCTAGCTGAGTGGTGATACACACCTCAGGAGGAGGGGGAGAGGCAGAGGCAAGTGGATCTTGGTGTTTGGGGCCCACCTAGTCTACAGAGTCAGTTCCAGGACAGCCAGGGCTACATAGAGCAACCCTGTACCAAAAAGCAACAGCTACAGCAACAAAAAGAACATGTTCCCAGTACCCACATTTTGGCTCACAATCATCCATTACTCCAGTTCCAAGGGATTGAAAAGTTCTCTTCTAGCCTCCTCAGGTACTAGGCACCTGGTACCTGACAAAAGACATGGTTTCACATACTTACATACATACATACATACATACATACACATACATATATACATAGACACATACATACACGCATACATATATACAGAGAAACACTCATACATATAAAATAAAATAAATCTTAAAAAAAAACTGGGCATAGTAGCTCATGCCTTTAATCCCACCACTCAGTAGGCAAAAGTACACATATTTCTGTGTATTCAAGGCCAGCCTGGTCTACATAGTGAGTTCCAGGCCAGCCCAGATCATACAGCAAGAACTTGTCTCAAAAACTAAAATAAAATAAAATGGAGAAAGAGCTAAGCACTGGGAAGCATCCATTGCTCTGTTTCCCAAGTGTGGACATGATGGGACCTGCTGCTTCAAGTTCCTGCTGCTTTGAACTCCTCACCATGGTGGACTGACCCAGAATTAACCTTCCTTTCTTAAGTTGCTTTTGTCAGGGCATTTTATCATAGCAATAGCACTAAAGCAGCACCTAATCTGAGTTGTGCAGGAGGCATCTTTATGGTCTGATGATTCCCTAAAGGCCTCCTGATGCTATCAAAGTGACACCTGAATTATGAAGGAGTTACATTCTAAACAATAACAATTATGAAATGATATCCAAGGAATGTGTGAGGGCCTCACCCTCTGAAATGGGGTAGAGGAGTTCAGGGAATTGCACAAATCAACAACTACATTGCATGAGGCATCAGTCATGAGCTGGCTTCCTGCCATGGAGAGAAGACAGTGGTGGTGACATGCGCTGAAGGTGAGCTCGGCTTTGGATGGCCTGGGTCTGAGGTTGGGTGACAGGGAGATACACTTATTGAATTCATAATACCTCAGGTCATATGTGTACCAGTACTTAGGGGGCACATCTGCATTGATGGCATTTATAAGCTATTGTGTGTCAGTGCTGTGTAATGACCCCAAACTCAGTGGTTTAAGTTATTATTTAGTTGTTTATAATTCTGTGAACGGGCCATCTGTGCTGGACTCTGACAGAATGGCTTTTTGTAGCACCACCAAGTGATTCAGGAATTTGTGGTCAGTTGGTGGCCAAAGCCCTTACACGTGGTAAGTCGGTGGCTTTGAGCAGGAGCAATGAGCATCGTGCCTGGGCTGTAGGGTAGCATCCGGCCTGCCAGTCTGCACTCTTTCAGATGATAATGCTTCAAGAATTGCAAGAGGCCGGGCATTGGCGGTGCACGCCTTTAACCCCAGTACTCGGGAGGCAGAGGCAGGCAGATTTCTGTGAGTTCAAGGCCAGCCTGGTCTCCAGAGCGAGTGCCAGGATAGGCTCCAAAGCTACACAGAGAAACCCTGTCTCGAAAAACAAACAAACAAACAAACAAACAAATTGCAAGAGTACCAAGCGAGGGCAAACCCTACTATGTGAGCACTTTCCAAGTCTTGGCTTGTGTCTCTTTGGTTAAAGAAATGTATTTGGTTAATGCTAGAATTACTGTAGGAGTGCATTACTAATGGACACACACACACACACACACACACACACACACACACACACACACACGAAAGGGAAAGCAAGTTGGGACTGTCACTCAAAGCATACATGTGTCCTTATCCTTGAGGCTCGTGGGATAGGGAAGGCAGACAGGAAGACATGGTGCTTTTACACAAATCTACACATACTCTTCATGCTTTCATGTCTGTCATGTTCTTCCACTTTCGTTCCTCTGGGAAATGCCAAAGTCCTATGAAGAGTTGTCACTATGCCTTAGCACACATCATGGATACAAATCCTTAGTGTCGAAGGAAAACTGAAGTAGCATCATATTGACACAGTCATGCAGACATGGAGGAAAATGTCATTTTGTCACGATCTAGGATCGGCTAGGAGACAAGCATCAGGGCTTGCCTGTGAGGAATTAGTTAGATTATGCTAACTAAGGTGGAAGCCCTGCCTTAACCACAGGCAGCGCCAAACTACTTCCCCGGGGTCTTGGACTGAATAAAGAGAAAGGGAGCTGAGCACCAGCTTGTCTTTCTGCTTCCTGAATGGGCATGTGATTGGGACCAGGCTGACCTCAAACTCATAGATATCTGCCTGCCTCTGCCTCCCGAGTGCTGGGATTAAAGGTGTGTGCCACCACCACCCAGCATGCCATCCTCAGGCTGCTCTGGTTGGGCATTTTGCTACAGCATAATACAGGTTCTTCCTACCCAACCCTATCACTCTCCTCATGTTTCCAATACAATATAACTCCTCTAAAAAATGTCCGTTCACCTTGCTGTAGTCAAATCCATGTGACTTTGGCTATGAGTTCCAGAGTTGATCTTTATTGCAACTTTTTTTTTTTTTTTATTTTTCAAGACAGGGTTTCTCTGTGTAGCTTTGGAGCCTATCCTGGCACTCTCTGGAGTCCAGTTTGGACTCGAACTCACAGAGATCTGCCTGCCTCTGCCTCCTGAGTGCTGGGGTTAAAGGCGTGTGCCACCAACGCCCCAATGCAACTCAGTCAGATGTGCAAAAAGTAAACAGGTTCCACTGTTCAGAGTGACAATCTCAATGCTTGGACAGAACCAGGCTACAGATACAAATGAAGAGTCACATGAAACCAATAAGGACAGCCAAGAATAGAATTCAGCCAACACATGTTTTCAAGGTTAGATGGAGATAGAGAAACCTATGGAAATTAAGAGGAAATGGAAAATTGCCATGCAGATTGTTAAGGGTAAGAAAAGGAGTCATCACCCCTTGTATGACCACACTCCAGGGCAGGCTCATGCTCAGAGTAGCTGATTTCATTCTTTTAGAGAGAGGTAGAGGTAGAGAGAAAGAGAGAACATGAAGTTGGGTGGCTGGGGAGATTGGGAGGTCCCGGGAGGACTTGGGGGAGGGGAAAGGATATCAAAATATATCACATAAAACAATGTAAAAAATCCAAAGAAAAAAAGAAAAGACAACACACACCCTATATATGACCACTGATGACATCAATATGGCAATCAAGTAGGGTTCTTGCCTTGCTTTGCTCTGGGTTTTGCAACAATAGTAAAAGGCAGTTTTGTTTTTTGTTTTGTTTTGTTTTGTTTTCAGGGCATACAAACATCCAGCATAGGCAGGTTGCAGCTTGAGAAAATGTTTTAAGAACAAGTAAGCCAGCTAGATGTTGGTGGCACATGCCATTAATCCCAGCACTCAGGAGGTAGAGGCAGGAGGATCTCTGTGAGTTCAAGGCCAGCCTGGTCTACAGAGGGAGTTCCAGGATAGGCTCCAAAGCTACACAGAGAAAAACCCTGTCTTAAAAAACAAAATGAAACAAAAACATCTCTTGCCTGGCGGTGGTGAATGGCTCAGTGGTTAAGAGCACTGGCTATTCTTCCAGAGGTCCTGTGTTCAATTCCCAGCAACCACATGGTGGCTCACAACCATCTGTAATGAGATCTGCTGCCCTCTTCTGGCCTGCAAGCATATATGCAGGGAGAACACTGTATACATAATAAACAAAATCCTTTTAAAAAAAAGTAAGCAAGATGTGTGAGTATTTGTGAATGAAGCACAACAAGGCGGAACTAGGGAAGAAACAGGACAAGGCTTAATGAAAAACAACACTCTGAATATTGGAATGATCGGCATTTTTATGAAATCTTTGTTTGTTTGTTTGAGAAAGGGTTCCTCTGTGTAACCCTGGCTGTCCTGGAACTAGCTCTATAGACCATGCTGGCCTCAAATTCACAGAGATCCACCTGCCTCTGCCTCCCTGGTATTGGAATTAAAGGCATGGGCCACCACCACGACTTACAAAATCTTTTCTTTATGGGTTTGTTTTCAAACAGGATTTCTCTGTGTAGTTTTGGAGCCAGTCCCGGAACTGAAACTCTGTAGACCAGGTTGGCTTTGAACTCACAGAGATCCTTTGCCTCCCAAGTGCTGATTGCTGGGAGTAAAGGTGCACCACCACCACCTGGCTACAAAATGTCTTTTAAAAGATAGAAAATGTGCCTATTTTAAGCCTTTAAAAGTCTGTTTTCCTGATTCATCCATGTTGTACTGTTATGGGGTCCTCTTGAAGCCTACACAATTCACACACCAACTCAATGCAGAAAAGAAAAAATTATTGTAATCAAGTTGCTAATGATCGATCAGGGCCTCAGATTAGACTCTATTTAGAAGTGTGTAAAAAATTTCCAAGTGTCTAGCATCTTTCTTTTCATAATTAACTTTCTATCTCATTACCTTGGGGTTAAAGACCATGGCCTGTTTGAGTTTCACTCTGATATTTGTTCAGAATTCTAGCAAGGGCAATCTTGTGAGCATCTGGGCTGGAGAGATGATTCAGTGGTTAAGGGTGACTCAGGGTGCCCTTACAGAGGACCCAACTTTCATTCCCAGCATCTACATTGGGCAGCCCACAACTACTTTTAATTTTACCTCTAGGGTATCCAACACCTGTGACGTACATGGGCACCTGCACATAAGAATGTGTGCATATGCACACAATCAGTGGTTAGAGCACTGGCTGCTCTTGCAGAGGACCCAGGTTCGGTTCCCAGCACCCACATGGTAACTAACAACTAACTGTAACTCATTATCATGAATCTGACTCCCTCTTCTGATCTCAGTGGGCACTAGGCACATACACACATGCAGACAAATATACATATAAAGATATGCATCCTTAAAAAATAAAAATAATAGTTTATTTTCTTTTTACATCAGGGCTTTACGCTCATTAATTCAAGCTTGTTAAAATTTCTATTCTTACACTTAAAAAAAATCAAAATTTTACCAGGCATCTGGTGGCACAGACCTTTAATTCTAGCACTTGGGATGGAAAAGCAGGCATATCTCTGAATTCAAGGCCAGCCTGGTCTACAGAGTGAGTTTCAGGACAGCAAGGGCTACAAAGAGAAACCCTGTCTTGGAAAGCAAATAAACAAATAAAACCCAAACAAACAAAAAAAATGATTGTTTTTATTGTGTGTTTAAGATGCAAGTACAGTGCCATGGCACATGTGGAGGTCAGAGAACCATTTGTACAGTCACTTCTCCCTTCTCCATCACATGGATTCCAGCATTAAACTCAGGTCATCTGGCTTGCACACCTTTAACCACTGAGCCATCTCTCCAGCTCCATCTCTAGATGTCCAATGGGAAGGTTTGTCATTCCAAACTCTCATACTAGCACCTTCTTCATCTGGAGTCAGTGCTTTGTGTACCTGAATATGCCACAGCCTCTCAGGGTCACCTAATAATTGCTTCTTGACTGTGTGTTAATCAAGAGGAGTGGGAAAGGTTCTTGCTGCTACTCAGTAAATGCCATGTGGCTACAATTCTTAGAGGGAGGCCTTAAGCAGGGTACACACCTCATAAGTCACTCCATCCACCAAGTCTGTAAAACGCATACGTGTATTCTCTAGTCTCCAAAGAAAGAAAACGCATGCCTTTGTTTTTTAACTAAGGAAAAGTTTTATTTAAACTGTGCAATCAATCAGTATGTAGACAGCAGTTTTCATAAACATTTTGGCATTTAAACTTTTATTCATTTTTTTTTTTGGCATGACCTGTAGGGTAGAATATAAACTACCCCGGGGTGGGGTAGAGATACTAAGAAATATTTGCTATCATGCTAGGAAAAGAAAACAAACCCACATTATTAAACAATAAAGAAAAAACATGTTTTAAGAAGACATTTTAAAAAGTACATTCAAAAATCAAGGCAAACATTCACTTTCCTCATACGGTGGGATCTGCAGAGCTGGTCCCCTGAGTGAAATAGAAATCGAATGTAGCTCAGCCCCACAGTCCACCAGGAAGCCAGCAAATGCTGCCCTTACAAGGAAGCAGAGAGTGGCAGGACCCAGAACACCCACTGCATAAAATAACTTAACTGGCTCCCACACTTCATTAAATTCACATCTTTGAAACAGAAAACAAAATTCCTACATACACAGACATAAACTTTTGTCCAACAACAGTAACAGACAGACAGGTTTTCTTAATACTTGTCCTACACTCTACCAGGTGACTAAGGCAATGTCTGTGTTCAGGCTTACCACCAGGAAGGGTTTAAAGTTTGGGAATGAAACAGATAACGTAGAATGTAGCAAGTAAGAAACTCTATGACTCAGGCAATGAAGAGTAGTTTCTTTCTTTTTTCTTTTTTTAAAGTGTCCAATAATAAAAGTAACTAACACTCTTGGTAAAGGTGTATTTCTCTATCATAAAATATGGCTGAGACAGAAACTTGAGGAAGTCTGTAGCACTTGGCAGATCATCGAAGGAGTGAAGCTGGCTGATGCAAGGAAAGAGCTCCTTTGTTAAAAATGAAAGATGAGGCCGGGGTGGGGGGTAACTAACACCTTTAATCTCAGCACTCAGGGGCTGAGTTCAAGGACAGCTAGCTTTTTCGTATTCAGCATCTCATCCAGTGAGCCGAAACAGCTTTCTCCCTTCCACTGAAAAAATGCTGAACATTAGGGTAGAATTTGAAGTCATCCCTCAAAATGGAAAGAAAGCCAGTATTGAGATGATCCAGAAATCAGAACAGACTGGACCTCTGGGGTCTAAAACGTCCAGGAAAAAGACATCTAAAAGATGAAGCAGGTGAAGAAGGTTAAGAGTATCCTAGGAGATACACAAGCTGAAAGAGGAGACGCAAGGACAATGGAAAGCCTCAGAGCTGCCCAATCAGAGGGTTGAACACCCATTGCTGTTTAAGTGAAGGCAGAAACCAGGCTGTAAGTTGTAAATGCCAGTGTGCTTTGGAAAGAAAGCAGAGGATGAATCTGCCCGGTCTTGTTCATCTATCCAGGATCCCTTTCCTCAGCCCTTCTCCAGCAACAATCACTGAAGGGAGAAAAACAATTTTCAGAATTTTCTGATGAAGTCCAACACTGTTGGAGGCAAACATTTAAGAGATTTTCCCTACAAAAACAGGAGCCAGGCAGTGGCGGCACATGCCTTAAATCTCAGCACTTGGGAGGCAGAGGCAGACAGATCTGAGTTTAGGTCAGTCTGGTCTACAGCGTGAGTTCTAGGATGGTCAGGGCTATAAAAAGAAACCCTGTCTTGACTCCCCAACCCCCTCAAAAAAGACTGGAGTTAGGAAGTGAATGAAGCCTTTTTTCCAAAAATCCTTAAGGGTGAATTATCTTTGAAGAGTTTTAGAGACAGAAGATTTTTAATGAGCTTTCAACAAACTACAGGATCTATTTTCCAGTCTTTGAAATTTTAAAGGTCTCCCAGGAGCAAGGGAACATCAGATTTGCTGCAACCTCTTGAACACCTAGTACCATGCCACTGAGAAGAATTCCACAGAATTGATGGATCTGTAGTAGGAAAAATATGGACCACCCATAGAAGTCTACAGAGAAATCCTCAGAACCTGTGAGAATCTTACAATATATGACTAAAGAAACTTGGCAGACATGGTTCATCTAAGCATATCATCTGGATGATGAAGGCCAGAATAATCTAACCAAATGAATACTTAGAATTGAAGAACCTTTCTTTCTTGGGGTCAGAAAAAGAGGAGAGGGGCTATGTTGCTGGTTCTGAAGAAAAAATGAGTTTACAGCCTTTAAAAGCTGAAGAAGGCAAGGGAATGGTTCCTTCTTTCAGCCCTCAGGAGAAATGCAGCTTCATCAGCACCTTCATTTTATCTTATAGCGGTGGTGGTGGTGGCGCACACTAATCTCGGGAGTATGAGGAAGGAGGGTTGCCACCCGGTTCAAAGCTAGCCTGGTTTACACAGTAAATTTCAGGAACAGCAGAATTTCAAAGCCAAAGCAAGCAAGCAAACAAACAAACAAAACAAAAACTGCCTCAGAAAGAGTTCTGACCTATAGTTGTGTTGTTTACAGACACTAAATTAGTGATCGTTTGTTAGAGGAGATTGCAAGAAAATCAATATGGTATCTACCTGCTGGAAAAAGCCTGTAACACACACATTGCATTAGCCTGTGAACTTACATCCTGAGCATAAACAACCCAGCACAGAACCTACGGTTGCCTTCTAAACACCAATAAGATTCACAATGAGACGAACGGCTGATCAGGGTAGTCACCAGAACCCACTGCTCTGTGCTCACAGAGCCCCCGGGTGATTTTTGACTTCTACCAAAGCAATTTTATCAGAGACACATGTAGTAAGATTTGAGGCAGAAAATCTGCCTCAGAAAAGTTAACAGCTCTTTACAATACAGTTGAAACTTTTTCTCCACATTTGGTATTCAAAACGGACATTTGATGGTATGTAAATGTACAAAAGTGAACTTTGAATTATAACAGTTACTGACCCATGTGCAGCAACATTTCCTAAAATGACACCCCTCACTCCCCAACCCTCGATGTGTTACGTAGTGCAGGCAGGCTGGAGACTCAGTAATCTGCCTATCCTTCCTTTGACTGCTGTGATTGATTGAAGGAGGATACCATGGCAGTTTTGGATGACATGAAAAACTGTTTTCAATGGTGTCTTCCTAAGGACTTGAACAGTGCTCCTGAGTCATCGGCCATGAGCCTTTTTATTTATTTATTTTTGCAGAAGCTCTCTAGAAAGCATAGACATGTTACAGACCCGAGTCACTGCCGAGTTGTTGGCGTTGCTTGTGTTTGAGGTAACAGCAAGAAAGCCTGTAACATGTCAGCAGCATTTAATTCCCTTGGTACCTTTCAAAAAACCATTTAATGGATAAATCTGTCTTTTAGAAATCTCTAGATTCTGTTAAAAACAAAAAAGAAAAAGAAAAAAAGCCATTCTTCATCCAGGTTTCCATTTGAGATTAAAGCCTAGCTTCTCTGATACAATGAAAACTTTATAATTTAGGAACCACCTTTTGACTCAAAGCACTGCCCACCCAAACAGTGACTCATTTAATTTGACTTCCTCAAGCTGTCTGAATAGCCAGAGAAATGACTTTATGTGGTGATGCAACTATACAGGCAGATTTAGGGGTTGCCATAGTACCCAGTAACAGAAGAGCCTGATGTTACATCTGCCGATCTGTCACAGTCACAGAGTCCTATGGAAGTATATTGCACCATTAGGCAAAAACATCCCTGTGGCTGAACCAGCAGATTTCACTGAAAATCCTCAGGATGAGCTCTGGGCACAGAGGAGAGGTTCTGGAGAGACATCTCATTAACATAAAAACAACAAACAACAGTTCAATGTACAGCTAAATTTCCCTATATTCGGAGGTAACCTTAAATATCTTTGGTTTTTAATTTCTTTTTAATTTGTTGATATAAAGTACTTGAATAAAAAACACTGATAAATAACCAATATAAATGTATTGCCTTTAACTATGTAAACTTAGCCTTTTGGTATTTTCTTTTTGCCACTAAAGCTAGATTCCCTATCTGCTTCTAAATAAATTTATTTTAAATCTGCTCATCTTTACTTACAGGCTAAATTATATATTTTAATGGTCTTTGGTATGAAAATACTGATGAGCAGTATTTTGTAATATTTGACATTAAAAATGACAGGCAGGTTATCAGCACTTCTAGCAAATATTTCTTTCTTTGGAAAATGAAACAGTTTCCAATTTGCATATCAGCTTATTTGGACTGAAATATGATGAAGTAATGACACCATGAGGAAGAAGTGATAACCTTCACATTTTAGTTAGAATTTTGTACTTCAGACTTCAAAGAAGCTCAGATTCATCAAGCCAAAAGCCTCTGTTGAACATTAAATACCTTATTCTATGAGATTAAAATACATATTTTTAGTGATTTTTTCCTCTCCAACAAGCAATTTCAAAAATTTGAAAATACGTTCATACTATAGAGTTAAAGATTTCTTTACTTGCTGAAGGAAAAAGAAAAAACCCTACAGTTGAAATACTTTATAACCATCTGCTGGCAAGGAAATTACAACTTAAACACTCTGGTGACAGTAAGGTAGTTAACGTCACTACTCTAATTAACTGTAACTATACATCCTACAGTTTAGGGTTAGAAATTACTTGTAATTGAATCTATTTATAGCTGTTTCTAGTGACTTCAATTTAGGGTAATTATAATAGAAATTTCATTTTCTACTGGAAATTCTTTGGTAACAGAATTATGATAGAAAAGTCTGCATAAGAATAGAATGAAAAGGTTAAAAAAAGGAACTAGCAAATAGTTATAAGCTAAAGGTCTATTTTAACTAAGGGCCTATTCATCAATAAACAGAGCACTTTCTTCTGCAAGGGTCTGTCCCCTCAGACCCTTTCAGATGACCCAGGCAGAGGACACGGTTCGATGTGTGTGGCCCTAAGCCTGAAGTTTCACCTTTACGTTCTGTTTGCTTTTGAAGACTGAAAACAACTGATCCCATTGTAGCTCTTCCTTGTAGATAACTGACAGAAGTCGGCCCACAAGCTTCTACAACGAACCAAACGACACCATACCCTGTCAATGCACCTGCCCATGCGTCATGAGCTCAAAAGAAACAAAACAATAAGACAAAACAAAACACAATTCCCTGAGTACAGGAAAGAACAATAACACTAGAATAACTTTAAAAAGAGGTAGTATAAACAGGAGCACCAAGGCAGGGGAAGCCATTTTTCTTGCCTCCCATTGTTCACCTAAAGCTCTGCTTTTTTTCTTTTTTTTTTTTACCCCCCCCCAAGCATTTTGCCACAAAACCCACAATGGCAGGGACAGAACTGTGCTCAGAAGTGGTGGCTGGCACAGCCGGTGGGTCGGGTTCTAAGCACAGAGTTCTAGAATCACAATGAAAAAACCGTGTGGTAGGGTCATCAAGATAGATGGCACCGGGATGATTATCCAGCAGAGTTCCCTTGACTTTAGGACACCATTTGGCAGGACCTGTTTCATCTGTGGAGGGAGGGGTTCAAGGGAAAATCCCACAGAGGGCCTATCTTTTAAAATACCATTTCCAAAAAACTGAGGGAGGGCAAAACCAATGATTTTTAAAGGCTAAGGACATGCCTCTCTTTCATGAGTCTCATTTTTTTTTGTCCCTCCCATGTGGCTCAGCACCGAGGTTGTTGCCTCATAATTGACAGCTCTAAGGGGCTGAGTAAATAGCTTGCTGATTTCAAACCCGGCAGAAGATGAACTCACTCCTGGAGTTAGTGGGACAGTAAGCTCGGCCACTGGGGTGGGGGGGCACAACATCCCCAAGGCAAACCTGCGCTTCAACGCCAACAAGGTGCCAGATAGCAAGAGCTATCAGTAAGATCCAAGCTTTGTTAAGGCAAATTTTTGGTACCCTTTTTCCTAAACATCTTCATGAATATTAAAAAGGTATAAGGCAAAAATTTTCAATATACTGGAAGGCACTGCTATTACAAAAACCTCAAGTTCATCTTTTCTACTGCTTTATCTTCATTCTTAATACTTCATGACATGTCTTCGACCCATTTGAAGCCCAACTGGGATTTTAAAAGAGAAAATCTGAACCATTCAAAAAAAAAAAAAATCCACTTTTCTACATTGTGTTTTGCATCTAGCTAGGAAACTCTAGAGATGTCCTGAAAGCGCAGCCCTTGACTGACTATGGGGCAAAGCAGAAGGTGGTTTTTTCAGGCTGAAGGCAGGCTGGTGCAGGCTAGAGCAAAGGACTCCTGCCCTGGTGCTCCAATCCCAACAGCCTTGCAAGGATACGCTCCCCTACATGCTATGGAATGCTTTTCTTCTCCAAAGAGACATATTTGTTTCATCCATTCAAATAAATATAGTCCCATATTTTCTCCTCACAGCCAGAGGTCTTAACATTATACAAATTATGCAGATGTCACAGTTCTTAAAAAAAAAAAAAAAAAAAACAGAGCTTCAGATCAACACATTCTTCCTCATCTACCCATCGGACTCCTCAGTTACACACATCACACACACAATGGACACACGGCGTCACTAGAAGTCCCGCTGGCTATGCCGCAGAGAGAAACCAGCACGGAAGGAGGCAGCACACTTCTTCAGAGTCCGCCAACAGCAAACTGAGGTAGCTATTCAGCAGAGGGCTCGGGCAGTCTTCCCTCCGCTCCAGTGATATATCTTAGAACCAGTCAAGCATCCTGACTGCCCTTTTTCACATTGTTGACAATTGAAACATTCAAAATTCGTGCGCTTAAAAAATAATAAAAAAAAAATTTTTTAAAAGATGATGAAAAAAAAAAAAAACCAAAAAAACAGTAAGACATCAAGATTTTCACAAAAGGCTTTGGCTCCCTGTTCATTGTCCTTCGAACAGATACGCTCCGTTGTAAATCCCTGAGCACGGACGGACGGCTGCTAGATGGGAAACCCGTCGGCAGCAAAGCGCAGCCCTGCAGACTGAGCGGCTGAGGTCGAGGAGGAGGAGGAGGGGGAGGAGGGGGAGGAGGAGGTCTGCTCAGCCACAAAGGGCTCTGCAGGGTCCTGGTGCTTCTCCAGTGTAGCAGTCCCATCAGGATCTCCACCAGTCAGGGAATCCGAGATGCGGGGTGTGCTGCTGATGACTGAGGACAGGTGTATCTCATCATTGGACTCGTGGGAGAACCTCCCAGAATCCCCTGTCTCGTGGCTGCCTTCACTGTTCGCCGAATGCTCAGAGTCGAGGGCAGCCCCGAAGGGTCTTGGGAAGCTGGTGGTCTGGCCCGGAGAGCTGGGGGAGTCTTCATCGCTGATCAACACGGTGGTGCCTGGCTGGTAAAAACTGACGGCCTGGGTGGTAAACCTTCTTGGCGTCTATGCAAAAACAGATAAGGTAGCAATGAGACAGCAGATAGCTCACGTGAACCAACTGTTTGGGTCAGTGGTTCCCACTGACAGCTGGGGGCATTTCTGAACCACTCTACCAACTGAAATGCTAAAACCTTCCGTGGTGAGGCTGGAGAGATGGCTAAGGGCTTAAGGCCACATACCACTCTGGTGGAGGACCCTTTAGTGGTCAGCACCCATATCTTTTGTAAGTCCGGCTCCAGGTGATCCAACGCCCTCTTCTGGCCTCCAAGGGCAGTACTCGTGTACATACATCCACCCAGACAGGCATACACACATAATAAAAAAAAAAAAAATCTTTAAAAAAAACACCCCACCAAACCAAAACCTTGGATATTTTGATACAAGCTCATGTCTCTCTCTTTCCTTACGGTCCTCATGCCCCCACTGAAGACCACATCTCTGATTACTATCCCAAATGTCTTTTTCACCCAAATGTCACCCCTCTCCACTGTCACAATAGAACCAGGTCTGTCAAGGATTACTCATTACATTTTCCCATTCTTTTTAATTATCATTTCTTATGCTGTGGACGGGTAAAGGAGTCTCACATGGGTAGATTACCTGTTCAGTTTTCATCTTTTTAGTGTCTTGGAAGAAAAGCCACTTTTTCTTAGTGTTGTTTTTAATGATAGGACCATAGCTATTGATGATCAGGTCAGTCCCTCCCTGAGGAAATACAAAATGAAAATACCTCAGAATTGAGAGATTTGAGTTCATTACAAGAAGGTCACAAAGATCTGAAATGTCTTAAGGAGACAAAGGTCACATATGGCACTGCCTCTTGTACACAGGAGAAAACATATTCAGGATATTTGTCACCAGAATCACATCAAGGCTGGAGGGATGGCTTACTAGCTAAGAGAACTGGCTGTCCTTCCATAGGACCCAGGTTTAATTCCCAACACCCACATGGTAGCTCACAACCATCCATAACCCCAGCTTCAGGGGATCCTATGCCTTCTTCTGGCTTACACACACACACACACACACACACACACACACACACCAGGCATATGTGAAGACAAAACACCCATATATACAACAACAACAAAAAATAATGTGAGGTATATTTATTTTCAAAGATGTATTATATATACAGTGTTCTGCCTACATGTATGCCTGCAGGCCAGAAGAGGGCACCGGATCTCATTATAGATGGTGGTGAGCCACCATGTGGTTGCTGAGAATTGACTTGCTTGCTTGCTTGCTTGCTTGCTTGCTTGCTTGCTTGCTTGCTTGCTTGCTTGCTTGCTTGCTTGCTTGCTTGCTTGCTTGCTTGCTTGCTTGCTTGCTTGCTTGCTTGCTTGCTTGCTTGCTTGCTTGCTTGCTTGCTTGCTTGCTTGCTTGCTTTTTGAGGCAGGGTCTCACTATGTAGCCCCAGCTAGCCTGGGACTCATGGTCATCCTTTTCGGCTTCCTGTGTGCTAAGGGATGACACGAAGGCACTACAACACCGAGCCTGGCTTACTCTGTACCTACCTCCTAACCCTCTCTCTTACATGTCTTCTTTAAAATTACTTCCTACCCCTTAGTAAAAGCTATGAACACACTGAACTATTTGGCAAAAAGGGTAATGCTGACAAAATTTTTGTTATAGCAAGAGAAAAGTATGGAATTATGGATATTACTGACTATTTGTGCATTTGTTTATTAAGTTCTCCATCCATGACTGAAACAGTTTAAAAGCAGTTGAGAGAAACAATGTCCTGGACTCACATTTACCCAAAGGTAAGACATTGCCATCTGTGGCCGACCAAGGGGACCGACTGGGCCTCCAGCTGCTCTCTGCCTCTTTGACTTTACATTCTGCCTCTTTCTCCCTATCTTCTCCTTCACTTTTTTCTCTCCTATCTGTTCTTGTACCTGCTGCCAAACTGATAATAACAGAACTGCAATACATATACTAGTATTTAGTGATTTTGGATTCTAGGGTGAGGACAAGGGTCACTTGTACAGTGCTTGCCTGGTAGGAAGGAAGCCCTGGGTTTGATCCCCAGAGCCATGTAAACTGGTTGTGGAGGTGCAAGCATGTGATCCCAGAACTCAACAGGTGGAGGCGGAGGAATTATTTGAAGAGTAGCTTTGTTGACATAGTGAATTGAGCCAGTATAGGTCATCTGCCTTGAGAACACACACACACACACACACACACACACACACACACACACACACACACTAAGATTTTATGTCCTATATTAATTTGAAATAAGTTGAATAGGGCTTGATTTTTATTATAAAGTAAAAGCTAAAACAGGCTGCAAACAACACAAATGCAACAGCAAAAAAATCAAATGTCTGTTAAAATGGTTGTATAAAATTAACATAAACTTGTAGGCAAGAGAAATGGCTCAGCAGGAGAAAGGCACTGGCCACCAAGTCTGATGACCTGAATTCAATCACTGGAACCCACATAGCAGAAGGAGAACTGACTCTCTCAAGTTGTGCTATGAGCACCATGACAAACAAACGCCCACATACATCAGAAACACAATATAAAGGAATGCAAAAAGTTAATACACAACCTCCCAAAACTTTAGAATATTTTTGTCACTGTAAACTTCAGGAAATGGCTGATCAGAAGGGAGAAACCTTCCACAAGGGGTTGGCTCTGCAGGACACAGGTGGCACCCCTCCATCATCATCTTCTCTAAGAATCTCTTAAGGAATCTAGAAAACATTCTTTGCCAAGGCAGTGGACATGCACCCCAAGCTCTGGGAATGTGGGTATGTCTGCAATATTGGTGACTGGCACATGTCACATTGGTTATGGAGCATAAGAATGGGATGAGGCAAAAGAAAAAAAAAAAAAGTGACGAGGCTGGACAGAGGGGTGGTTGCACACGCCTTTAATCCGTCAGCACTCCGGAGGCAGAGGCAGGAGGAGCTCTGCAAGTTTGAGGTCAGCCTGGTCTACAGAGTGAGTTCCAGGACAGCCAAGGCTACACAGAGAATGTTCTTTGGAGGTGACAGAGGTGGCTCAATGGTTAAGAGCACAGGCTGTTTTTTTCAGAAAACCAGGGTTCATGTCAGCTCATAACCACCTATAACTCCAGTTCCAGAGGATATGGTGCCCTCTTCTGCATTCCTTGGGCACTGGGCACACACATGTTGCAGAGACATACATGCAGGCAAAAAACTCATACATACGAAATATTTATATAAAGTAAATTTTAAAACTTTCTGTAACTGGTGTGCTCTGAGAACCGATTCCGGCAACCATTAAACTCAATACAAATAATTTAATAGAAGTGCTGATGCCAGAAGTGCAGGGGAGCCCAAATTACACTAAATAATAGCTAATGATGATGTATCCCAGCTCCCGTAATCCTATCTAATATCTCTGTCACCACCTCTTACTGTATCTTCCATTCTTTGTTCTTTCTCATATGTCCTCAACTTCTCCCCCCAATCTGTGGGTGGAGCATATAATTATAATTAGCAGGAATATATACACAACACATTCAACACCCTTTCCTGGTAAGTTAATTTCACTCAAGGAGAGAAGCATTACATAGCAAACCTTCGCATCAATGAAGCTGCTCGGCACCATGGGTACCAAGGACTCTTCATTCTCTGTAGCTCTCTCCAGGTTCTTCCCCATTTCACTCCCCGAAGCTACAGAGGCACTGGCTCGAGATAACAGCTGGGTTCCATTCTGTGCTGTCTTGGAGGCAGATGATTTCCTGAAATATTGGTAAGAAAAGAAAGCCTTCTCATCTCATAGAAGATATGGGCAAGTGTACTAAATTTGGCATTTAACCATAAAATGCATCATCCATCCATCCATCTATCTATCTATCTATCTATCTATCTATCTATCTATCTATCTATCTGAGACAGTAACTTGTATATCCCAGAATGACCTCAGCTTGTAGAAGACAATGACTTTGAATTTACTTTTTTGCTTTTAAAATGTTTACATTTATTTATTTACTGAGTGTGTGTGTGTGTGTGTGTGTGTGTGTGTGTGTGTGTGTTTGCATGTGAAAGTCAGAGGTATATGCGAAGGTAAGGGAATAACTTGCAAGATTCAGTTCAATCCTACCATGTGGGTTTTGAGGACTGAACTCTGGTAGTCAGTCTTGTGAGCAAGCACGTGTATCCACTGAGCCATCCTAAACCATACACCCAGGCATCCTGAACCATCATCCACTGAGCCAACTTGAACCACCTCCTCAGCCATCCTGAACCATTCTGAGCCACCCATCCACTGAGCCATCATGAACTATCTCCTGACTGCCACCATGAGAGGTGTGAGTCACCACAACTGGCTATATGTCGTGCTGGGGAATGAACCCAGGGCTTCATGTTAATTGAGCATGCTACTACACAGGGCTAGCTCCTCAGGCTGCAGGTTTGGAAACAATGGGCTTCTTCAATGCCTATGTTTCAAATATCTTTGGAATATAAATATTAGATCTTTAGTTCTACTCACTGCTGCAGTGTTTGTGATTTGCCTGATAGCTAAGGGCAATCACAGCTCTGTTCACTTCACTAGCCTGTGATTCCGGCCACTTGTTCTTTACCTCTCTTGGTGACTAACGCAACCCTGCTACCAATACTTAGACATGAGATCATAAAGGAATCCTATGGGGGAAGGGGTGTGCTGGATCAAGTTTGCCATGAAAACAGACTTCACTCAAATAGACTTCTCATTTTCTCAAAATGATACAGAAATGCCGAAACCAAATCCACATCTAGGGATTTTTATTGGCACAGCACACAAATGGCAGGAAAATGATCTCAGTATAAATCTAGCACACTCTGAGCTGTAAAGACCCCGTAACATAACACTGCTTTTAAGGAGGAAAATAACCCAGTTGATTCCACAAGGCCCTTGCTTTTAATGTGTTTCCTGCAGCTGCTGTCATTTAAGTTTTTGTAACCATTACAGCATCTCTCCCTCTGCATACATACATATACAAGTGTGCATGTGGAGAGCTGAGGATGACCCAGGTGCCAATCACTTCCCACCATTTCCACCAGACTGGCTATGGAGCTGCAGGGGCTATCCTGCCTTTGCCTCTTGAAAGCTGGGATGATAGGCAAGTACCACACCCACCTAGCATCTCTGTAGATTCTGGGACCTTTGATTCTCACACTTGGCATTTTACCTGTGAGCCTGTCACTCCAGGCCCTACATCAGCATCCTGAGCAAGGGAAACGTACCTGGCTTTGCTTCGGTATATCAAGATGAGAACACAGATGAGGATGCAGGTCAAGGCTATACCAACGCCTACCGCAATACCCGTCATGGACTTCTGGTCCAGGTGGTAATACCCTGAGTAAACTAGAGAGGGAGCACGATTATTCAAGCACAAGAAACAGCCACATTCTACATATCATTGTTCACACAGTTGCTTTTCTGTAATTTGCCTTCATCTCACAGGAAAGTTTCGATGTCCCTTCTAAGCAGAAAAGTCAAGAATTAATTTCTGCCAGTGATTACAGAAGTCAATTTATCTTCTAGTATTGAAGATTGAGACCACATTTAGACAGCATATTATTATAACAAACAATGAGCACCAATCTAGAATTTCATTTATTTATTTGCCTTTTCTTTGTTTGTTTGTTTGTTTTTGTTTTGTTTTTCAAGACAGGGTTTCTCTGTTACTGCTTTGGAGGTTGTCCTGGAACTCACTCTGTAGACCAGGCTGGCCTCGAACTCACAGAGATCCGCCTGCCTCTGCCTCCCAAGTGCTGGGATTAAAGGCGTGTGCCACCATGGCCAGGCAAATTTATTCATTATTAAAGATTCCTTTTATTTTTAATTTATGTAAGCTACCTCCTTCCTGTTTTATTTTTGTTGTTGTTGTTTTTAATTTTTTTACTGGTTTTCAAGACAGGGATTCTCCGTGCAGCCCTGGATGCCCTAGAACTCATTTTGTAGACCAGGCTGTCCTGGAACTTACAGAGATCTGCCTGCCTCTGATTCCAGAGTGCTGGGACTAAAAGTCGCCACCACAACATCTGGCCCCTTTCTGTTCAGCAGGCAGCTTCTCTTTACAGACTTTTCTATTTCTCTATAGAAACAGAGTGACCCCAGGACCCCGGGGGCACTGGCTCCCTTTAGACCAGGGGACATTGAGAGTCCTGAGTGAGGGTGGCTACTTAGCCACATTTCCCCCATTCCCAACTGTTTCTGGGTAAAAACCACCTTCTGGCTGGGAGAGCTGTTTTTCTTAATGAAACCAGGATCCTCCCAGCCTTGGTACCACAACCACCTCCACTGTTGGTTTCCTCAGAACCTTCTGGGATGCTCATGCCCACCAGTGTGCAGCTCATCCCGCCCAGTGGCTACACAGCTGGGGAAGCAACTAGAAACACGGTGGTCCGGGAAAGCAACTGGGAGCACTATGGTTGGGAACACTATGGTTGGGAGCACTATAGTTGGGAGCACAGTAATCTGGAGCACTCTCATCTGGGAGGACTGTAGTCTGGGAACTGAAAGTTCATTCTGAGGTATTTCCCCTCTGCTTTCTAGGACCACAGAAGAGAGCCACGCAGTCCAGAAAACCCAGAGCCCCACTCGAAACAATTCAGCAAACCAAGTGTAGGGTTGGGGTGTGGCAACTGTGGTAGTTGAAGTCAAGCATTAGGGATGAAATCCCTGTGACTGTGGCAACATGCAAACCTTTCGCATCAGAAGAATCCAATCGCTTGGGCCTCTGGTTCGATTCTGAAGTGTCCTTGGGGAGGACAACCAGCTCCACGGAATTCGAAAAGGGCCCTTCTCCCACCTCGTTGGATGCAGATATCTTGACAATGTACACGTTCCCTGCCACCAGGTTTTCCAGTAGAGCCATGGTTATTGCCCCTAGAAACATAAGTAAATTAAGTAAACATTTCCAGCTATACAAACATGGACCAGCACTTAAGAAATATTTTTTCTGAGAATAAAAAAAAAAAAAAATTCCCCCCAGGGGTCTGGAGAGATGATGAATCAGCCATTAAGAGTGTTTGCTGGCCAGGTGGTGGTAGCGCACAATTCCCAGCACCCAAGTCGTACAGTTTACAACCACCTGTAGCTCCAGCTCCAAGGGTTCTAAAGTCCTCTTCTGTCACTCGCACACATGTGGCATTCACATAAACATAAAAACAAAAAACAGGGGCTGGAGAGATGGCTCAGCGGTTAAGAGCACTGAACTGTTCTTCCAGAGGTCCTGAGTTCAATTCCCAGCAACCACACGGTGGCTCACAACCACCTTGAATGAGACCTGGTGCCCTCTGCTGGTGTGCAGGCAGAAGACTGTATACATAATAAATAAATGAAATCTTTTTTAAAAAATAAAAAATAAAAAAAAACAAAACAAAAAAACTCCTTCCCCTGATTATAGAAGCAACTTTTCATCATGGTCATCTGGAAAACAGATTTAAATATAGGTCCACTGGTTATTCTACTGTTGACATTTGAATTACTTATGTGTGTACAAATGAACGAACACAGATTTTTCTGTTCATTTGCCTTTTCAGAAACAATGTTTTGGTTTGGCATGGTGCTAGGATTGGAGCCAGGTCCTCGTGCTTGGTAAGCAAACGCTCTTCTAAGGAGCTACATCCACAGCCCGAACACATAGTCAGCTCACACACTTCCACATCTTAACGTTTTCACTTAACATTGTACTGTGCATATATGGTCATCCCACAAAGACCTGTAGAGTGGTACTCAGGTGGAGGATTTCTGTTTGGTTGTTTTTTTTAAAGATCTGTTTTATTTTTAATGATGTGTATATATGTTTTGGGGCAGGGTACGTGCAATGTGAGTGTGGCACGCACATACACCTGAAGGGGTATCAGACCCCCCACCCCCAAGCTAGAGTTATAAGCAGTTATGAGCAGCCCTGATTCAGATTCTGAATACTCAACTTGGGTCTTCAAAGAGCAGTATGTTTTCTTAACCACCGAGCCATTTCTCCAGTCTCTTAGAAGGAACACTTTAAACATAGCATATAGTTCTGATTTTTAAATGTATAATTTATTTTATACTGTTTTTTTATATTGTATATGCCTATATAATGTCTTACTCCTTATATACACATGACACTTGGGACATATAATTATGGCCATTTCAACACATACAAGGAATGGACATGTGATGAGCCTGTATCAACAGTTATAATTAGACTTTAAAAATCTAGTGTAAGAAAAAAAAAATGCCAGTGTAAGACCAGTCTTTCTTTCTTAATTACCATCGTTTAAACTACTTAAGGTAACAGCTGTTTTAGATGAGCCTGTTCTTTCTTCTTACACAAGAATGGGGCTGAAGAAATAGCTCAGCAGTTAAAGAGTTTGTACTGCTCATGCAAAGAACTTAAGTTAAATCCCCAGCACCCATGGCAAGTGGCTCACAACTGCCTGTCACTCCAGCTCCACGGATCAGGGCCTCTGGCCTATGCAGGCACCTGCACTCACAAACATCTCCCCAGAAAGGCACGCATACATATACATAATTAAAAACAATTAGCTGGGCATAGTGGCACATGTCTTTAGTTCCAGCACCCTAGAGACACAGGCAAAGGTAGGCAGATCTACGTAAGTTGGAGGCAAGCCTGGTATTTAATGCCAGTTCCAGGACAGCCAGGGCTACACAGAGAAATCCTGTTTCAAAAAACAAAAACAAAGAAACAAAAATTACAAAAAAAAAAAAAAAAAAAAAAAAAAAAATTGGGGCTGGAGAGATAGCTCAGTAGTTAAGAGCACTGGCTGCTCTGCCAGATGATTTGGGTTCAATTCCCAGCACCCACATGGCAGTTTACAACTGTCTGTTAACTCCACTTCCAGGGGATCAATGCCCTCTTTGGTCTCCACAGGCAGGCACCAGGCATGAAAGTGGTATACAGATATACGTGCAGGCAAACACCCACACACATAAAAATAAAATTAAAAGTAAAAATATTAAATAATAAAAACACATATTTCACTGAGAAAGAACACAAATACTTTCCACATGTTGAACGAATCTCTCAGTGCAGATTATCTCGTTTCTAAAACAAAACAAAAACACAGGTTTCCATGGGAACCACAGAGGCCGATGACCCCTCCCAGGTTAACTCCTTTGAAAGCATTTTATTACATTTCTGTCCTGTGTGTGCTGTATGTGTGTGGCTGTGTGTACACTGCCATGCACATGGCGCTCAGAGGGCAGCTTGCAGCAGTCAGCTCTCTTCTTCCATTACGTGGGACCCAGGGACTGAACTCAGGTCTTTGAGCTTGGTGGCGAGTACTTTTACCCACTGAGCCATCTCCTCAACCCCATGTTAACCTCTAACCTGCAAGGTGGCAAGGCCACGGCCATCAAGATGGCTTGCTGCTGAGCCTGAGAGTCTGACTTCAACAGATAGGACCCACAGGATAGAAGGAGAACTGACACCCCCACAGGTTGTCCCCTGATTTCCACCGTGGCATATACCCCACCTCAATACACACACACATGGAATAAATAAAAATGCTTTAAAAAGATGCCCATGCTTCTTTTTAAAAGAACAACTGCCTGAGATCCGCTTCTCTCGGAAGGTAAGCATCACTGGAATCCACAGATGTTTAGCATCTGTAGGTGTTTTTCTGTGATGGACACTGAGGATTCCTGTTTGAACCTTAGTATTTATTTCTGCATTTAAGGTATTTCCCTTTAAGAAGGTCAGTCGTAAAGCTGTCGAGTACACAGGGACACTTAGCTTTCCAAGTGTGGGGAGGGAGTGTTTTCTTTTCTCCCTGATGCACAGGGACCTACAACTTCAGAAAGCTTACAAGGGCTTACTGTAGTCAACTGCAAAGCCAGGGCTGGCTTTTCTGGTGCACTCACTAGGGTGTACCTCATAAGCAAAGGAAGTGTGGGCAATCCTATAGCTGAAGCCCCGATACGGCAGCCACTCTGCAGGTCTCACACTGTGACCTAGTGGAAGCGCCAAGAACTCAGAGACTTGTTTTCATGTTCTCTGGTTTCAACTTGGCCTGAGGAGAGTGTGAGTTACTTGAATAACCCAGCTGCTAAATAAACACAAGAAACCCTATTTAGAAGCAGGAAGAGTCTGTACTGTGTACCTTGGATGCAGGCAGAGGCATTACAAAACAAAGATGTACCGTGACAAGTTAAAATTAGCCAGAGGGCCATTCCAACTTCTTCACAAGTAGAGATGAAATTAAATACATTTTAATTTCTATCATTAAATACATTTAACTTTTCAAAATGCTTGGAAAAACTTACCACTACCAAAAGCAAATTTTTCATTTGATTAAAAAAAGAAAAAATGCTTTGGCTGGGAGGTGGTGGCCAACGCCTTTAATCCCAGAGCTTGGGAAGCAGATGCAGGTGGATCTCTGTGAGTTCCAGGACAGCTTGGTCTATAGAGAAAATTCCAGGACAGCCAGGGCTACACACAGAGAAATCCTGGCTTGTGGGGGGTGGGTGGGTTATTTGTTTGTTTTATGAGACAAAGTCTTTGTACCCCAGGTTAGCCTCAAACTTGCTACGTAGGTAAGGATGACCCTGACCTCTTGGTCCTCCTGTCTCCACCTCCCAAGTGCTGAGATACGGCATGCACTACCACGATCAGTTTTATCCAGTGTTTTTTTTGTTTTTGTTTTTGGTTTTTGGTTTTTCGAGACAGTGTTTCTCTGTGTAGCTCTGGAGCCTATCCTGGCACTGGTCTCGAACTCACAGAGATCCGCCTGCCTCTGCCTCCTGAGTGCTGGAATTAAAGGCGTGCGCCACCAACGCCGGGCTCCCAATGTTGGGGTTTAAAACCAGGATTCCATGCATGCTAAGCAAGCATCCTACCAGCTGAGCTACACCCCCAGCCCAATTAATTTAAGGTTTGTAATTGAATCAACATTATGTGTAAACACGTTCTTTCTGCCCATCAAAAATGATTTCAGTTACAAAGAGAAGAAAGAGAGAAAAAAATGAAAAATATGTAACACTCTGTTCCCCCATGAGCACATGAGACTTGTGTGTACAGACCAGACGTCAACTTGCAGGCATCAGTTTTCTCCTTCCCCCATGTGGGTTCCTGGTATCAAACCCAGGAGGTCGGCCTCAATGGCAAGCACCTTTGCCTGATGGTCCATCTTGCCAGTCACAAATATTTTGATGCTCAAAAATAATTCAATCCTTGATCCATTTGGTATTAAATATGAACATATATATGCATACATTTACACATATTAAAGATTATCAGACAGGGGGTGGGGGGATGGGGGCAGAGGAGGGCAGATCTCCAATTTCAAGGTCAGCCTGGTCTACAGAGCAAGTTCTAGGACAGCCAGGGCTACATAGAAAAACCCTGTTTCAAAAAAAGGAAGAAAAATCACCAGAAATGACAAAATCCTTATTTCCCCATCGTTTCCTACACTCGTACATTTCCAAAACTGTTGTGTTCAGATACAAAAGACAGTTTTCCATTTTAACTTTTTCTCTATTCTGAGCCGTGTTCCTTGTTTTTTAAGTAATTATAGGTTGACTCCTTTATATTTTCTCTCTCAAAACAGGGACTTGATTGCTTTTTCTTATATTATTTACTTGTTCTTTATGAGGCACAGCACTAACTATAAAGAAAGCTCTCTCCATTTAACAGAGGACAAATGCTTCTAACAAGAACGTTCCTGAAAGCCTCACCAAGTGGCATGCGGATCATGTTTTCCTGCACACAATTATGTAGTTAGGAAGGTTCGCAGCGACGCAAAGCCTACAATTACTATCCGCGTCTCTATGGAGCCAGAAATGAGGTAAGATATTCATTTCTGAGCTCTTTCCCAAACTCCAGAATGGGTCAATTTGAAAACAGGCAAAGGAAATTTTTGTTTCCTTTTAAGAAGGCAAGAAAGAGGAATTCAAAGCAACGAGCTCAAGTGGGTCCTTATTAATATTTATGGCACCTCATTAAGTCAGATTTGTCATTTGGTCAAGTATTGTGTCAATAAGCCATCCTGGAGACGAGAGACTGAAACTGAACTGCAATAGGGGGGGGTGGAGAGATGGCTCACTGGTTAAAATGCTGCTCTTCTGGAGGACCCCAAGTTCAGCTTCCAACACCAATGTCTGGCAGCTCACAACTGCCTGTCACTCAAGCTCCAGGGGACTCAACATCCTCCTCTGGCCTCTGTAGGCATTGCACATATGTGACACAGACAAATAAAGCTAAAAAGTAAATCTAAAACAAGACACATGGTAGGGCCCCCCCAAAAAAGGCAGAGAGGTTAAAGGCTCTTGCCACCAAGTATGACCAACCAAGTCCAATCCCCAAGACCCATAGTGGAGACCACCAACTCTGGTATGCCAGCGTCTGGCCTCCCTAACCACTCCGGCTGCCACCCCCCAGACATGTTTATTTTTAAAGAACATAAACTAGATTATGATATTAAACAACCCTCATTGGGTTTCCACCTATTCGTACCCATGGGCAGCCCTAATAGTCATGCTCAGGGCTTGACCATGTAATTTCCTGTATCTAACGGGACATCAGTACATGTACCACAGCCAAGGTTGGAGACACTTTGTTTCAGGAGGTTTATCTTTCCCTCCAGACCCTAAACACCTCTCCCCACGGTTCCTAGATTCCTCCTCCCTGTCAGAATCGAGATTCATGGAATCAGTAAGAAAGGGCAACAAGTGTTTGAAGCTCTAGAGGCGTCTTTGAAGCTGCAAGGGACACTGACAAACATGACACGTAACCGCCAAGTCTTTAGTGCCTTCCAATCTCCTCAGAAGCCAGTTACTACTTAGTGGGGCTCATGAGAGCTCCTCAGAACTTCAGGTGACATGGCTGGAGAGAATGATCCAGAGCTAAGAGCACTGGCTGCCCTTCCAAAGGACCCAGGTTCACTTCAAAGCACCTACATGGTGGCTGAAAACGCCTATTCTGAGAAATCTGATGCCCTCTTCTGGCCTATGTGAGGAACTGCATTCATACACACAAACCCAGTTATACATAATTAAAAATAAATTTTAAATCTTTAAAAAAAAGGAAAATTCACCAGGCGGTGGTGGTGGACACCTTTAATCCCAGCACTCAGGAGGCAGAGGCAGGTGGGTCTCTGTGAGTTCGAGACCAGCCTGGTCTACAAGAGCTAGTTCCAGGATAGCCTCCAAAGCCACAGAGAAACCCTGTCTCAAAAAACTAAAATAAATAAACAAACAAACAAATAAATAAATGAAAATTTGCCAGGCGGTGGTGGCGCACGTCTTTAATCCCAGCACTCAGGAGGCAGAGGCAGATGGATCTCTATAAATTCAAGGGCAGCCTGGTCTACAGAGCAAGTTCCAGGACAGCTAGGGCTACCCAGAGAAACCGTCCCTGTGTAGGTTTTTTAAGAAACCAAAAGAAGGGGGGGGATTATAATCCTTAAGTTTTTTTTTTTTCTTTTTTCTTCTTCTTCTTCCATGAGATAGGCTTGGGCTGGCCATAAGATTGATTTTTTTTTTTTTTTTTTTTTTAAATCTCAAAAGTGCCAGGATTCACAGATGTGAAACACCACTCTCGACTCCTTAAACTTATAATTGCTTGGCAAACCCTCCTTTTCTCAGCCTGAGTGAATTAAGGGCGTGGCAGAGTAACACTTTAGACTCCCCATCCAAACTCTGCCGTATGGAACATGTCATGGGAGATTAAATGGGAGATTTAAGATTTTAAAAAGAACGTAATGTTAAAAGCACACAGTGAGAATATTAAGAATTTGGTAATTCATTATTCCTCAGCTAAAAACAGATTAATGTTTAAGAATCTTTAACAGTGCCATTAAGTCCCAACCAGGTTTTCTCTGTACTTAAAAAAAAAACTGGGGCCAGCAAGATGGCTCAGAAGGCAAAAGCAACCCTGGCAACCCAAGTTTGATTCCTGGAACCTGTGCCAAAGCCCAGACGTGGTGGCACACATCTGTAATCCCAGCACTCCTGTGGTGAGATGGGTGTGGAGAGAGAATTGACCAGGGACTCTCGGGTCAGCTATCAGAGGCAAAAACAAATGAGACCCTGCCTGAACAAGATGGAAGGCAAGAGGCAAGCCTGAAACCATCCTCTGATCGTCATACATGTGCTGAGACATGTGCATGTCTGCACACACACACATACAATTGATTAATTGAGTTGAACTGATAGATGGCTTGCCAACGCTCTTTGATCAACCAAAAACTATAGTAATTTGTTACTTCCTGTGCAAGAATGTAAATTCAATGAGAGCTCCGTATCACTCCCCTAGTCTCCCTGTGACACTGATGATAACTTACTACTGTCATCAAGGATCACTTTTGATCACACTCACCTTCTCGGTGTAGGACCTGCCACTCGCCCGCAATCCAGGCCTTCCTGGAAGCATACAAGATGGTGTAGCGTGTCACAACCGTCTCTGGGCCATCGGGGGGTTTCCAGGTAACAAGGGCAGTGTCATCCTCTATCAGTGTCACCTTTACCCCCACTGGGGGGCCTGTGGGTGCTGTGGGGACATGAGAATAATACTGTATGAGCAGGGTTAGAGGAGTTACAAGAACTCCAATGCTGGCTGAGAGATGGAGAACCACGGACGAGTCTGCACAACCAGAAACTACTGTGAGAAATCCAAACACCACAGCTTTTGAGGTTCGTTGTAACAGGAAAGAGCTGAGGCTGGCCTTCAATACCTAACCCTTCTGCGTCCACCTCCCGAGAGACAGGAGCAGCACCATATCTGGTTTATGTGGTGCTGGGTAAAACCAAGGACTCCGTGCATACAAGGCAATCACCCAGCACTTACCCATTGAGTTATTTCCCCAATTTTAATTTTACTTTCAGGTTAAAAACATTATAAAACAAAAACATAAAGCAGAGGGTAGACTTAGCACCGGGCCAGGGGCGCAATGGATAATGCGTCTGACTTTGGATCAGAAGAATAGGGTGGGCTCTACATGGAAATGTCCTACATCTAAGGGACAGGATTTTTGGGACTTTTGAAATACTATTGTTAAAGTACCACTCAGAATGGCTTATGGAGGCAGGGAATTGCCGAGTATGAGTGAGGCCACAGAAACAATTCCTGGCACAGAGCAGGAAGGGGAGGGAGGGTGTACAGTTTATTGTTTCGTCTGTTCACCAGAGAAAAGTCCCTATTGGTACTGACTCTAAACTGTAGCTACTACTAAAATGTTTAGAACAATAACCTGATCCAGAAAGCTTGAAGCAAATGCTCCCGACATTTAGCTATTTCCCGAGACACTAGAATCTGTGTTGATCAGACTCCAGTAAGAATTTTTGTGTGTGAATGCCAGTGAAATCACAGAACATGACTGACTCCACGTTTAACGAGAGCTCAGAGTATGAAGAGATGGGGTTTCCTGCTGTGTTTTATGGGCTATCACCAAAACCACAGATCTAAGGGACACAAAACACTGTAACCATAGCCACAGATGTCATAGATGGTGCACAGTCAGCTATTCACACGGTACTGAGCACAGCACCAGGCTGACACTTATAGGAAAGTGCGTCTACTCTCAGTGAGATAACACTGAGGTTTGAACATCATGACTGATGGGGGGAAAAAATTAAAAAGGAGTCCAAAAAGGGATGGAAACTAAACCTAAATGGCTTGTGATTTTTCCTAGAAGGAAAAAAAGAAAAATTCAAAAGGGAAGAAAATGAAAAAGCACACATCAGCTGGGAGGGGCTAGGGGAGCTCTCAGAGTGGCATACATACTTCCATTCTTCTAATCTCGGCTTGTTCTTGAACTCACTATGTAGATGAGGATAACCTTCAATTTCTAAGCCTCCTGACTCTACCCCCCCAGTGGTGATGCAAGCCTTTAATCCCAGGAAGCAGAGGCAAGCTGATCTCTGTAAATTTGAAGCCAGCATAATCTACAGGATGACAAGACAGCCAGGGCTACACAGAGAAACCCTGTCTCAAAAAAACAAAACAAAACAAAAACCCTGAGTTCGTCGAGGTTGGTCTAGTCTACAGACTGAGTTCTATGATAGCCATTTTGATTATGTCTCAAAAAACAAACAAACAAACAAACAAACAACAAAAAACAACCAACCAACCAAACAACAACAAAAACCAGTTTAAAAAAATTGATAGGCAGAGGCAGGTGGATCTCTATGAGTTTGCGGCCAGCCTGGCCTACAAGGCACATTTCAGGACAGCCAATACTGTGACACAGATAAACCTTGTCTTGAAGCAACAATAAAAAACAAAATAAGGGCTGGAGAGATGGCTCAGGGGTTAAGAGCACTGATTGTTATACATAATAAATAAATAAATCTTAAAAAAAAACATAACGAAAACAACACACACACACACACACACACACACACACACACACAATTCATAGTGGGACTAGAGAGATGGCTCAGAGGTTAAGAGCACCAGTTGCTGCTATTCTAGAGGACCAGAGTTCAAGTCCCAGTCCAACCATCTGTAACTCTATCAGAGAATCGGATGCCCTCCCCTGCCTTCTGTAGAAACTGTATACATGTGCTACACAGACACCATGCAGCCAAAACATCCAGTCATTAATAAATAAAAGAATGAATGAACACATGAATAAATAAAATTTAAGAGATGAACTCCATAGGGCAGCTGCAGTTTCTACCTTCTGGCAGTGTGGAATGGTAGACCACAGGGCTCCAGGGACTGGAGAGCTGATCCACATGCAGCCGGACAGCAAATTCATACTTGGTGTTTGGTTCCAGTCCTTGAACCAACATGTGGGTTTCTGATCTGTGTTAAAGAGTAAGGGGGTTGTTAGTGCCGGTAACTTATTTCCAATAGTCCACAGTGTATCAACTCATGCCCAGGAAGCATAGTTTTCAGAATTTTCAGAACTGAATGGGAACAGAAACATCCAGACATTTTAGATTGACACCTCTGAAATGAGTGCTCTCCATGAAGCCCAAGCTGAGCCCAGGTCAGTAGTTGAATGAGTGAGCAGCCAGCATCAAAATGGAAACAACCATGAAGACAAGCTACATACGTTTGCAGGTAGAGAACCAGAGAGGCGTTCTGCAGGCCAACAGGGTTACAGCGGATGGTGTAGTTAATGACTTGGGCCGTGGTGAATGCAGGCCTCCTCCAGTGCAGGAAGATGGAAGAGGAGGTGTTAGCCTTCGCATAGAGATGGTGGGGTGGTGGTGGTGGAGGGACCATGCGATCACGAACAGCTATCGAGAAATGCAACACGAATTTACTGCAAGGGTTGGGTGTTGTAGAGAGCAGTATAATGTAAAACGAGAACTCTATGGTCGTTGGATCTGAGATCTTTCTCCCACCGTCTCATAATGGTCTATCCCTGACTCACTCAAACTAACAAACTCTTCTGTGAGTCAGATAAAGAGTCAAACGCTTCACTGTTCAAAAAACAATAGCTCTAGACAGTCTTAGTAGTGCATGCATGCCTTTAACCCCAGCATTCGGAGGCATGCAGATCTCTCGTGAGTTGGAGGCCAGCCTGGTCTACATAGTGAGTTCCAGAAAAGCCAGGGCTACATAGTAAGATCCTATCTTGAAAAACAAACAAACAAACAATGACCCTTACCCCCCCACACACTCCAAAAAAAGAAAAGGAAAAGCAAATACTCCATTGTGGTAGCAGATGCTTTTAAACTTACAAGAGGCAGAGACAAATCTCTGAGTTCAAGGCCATTCTGGTCTATATAGCAAGTTCCAGGGCAGCCAGGACTATATAGTGAGACCCTGTCTCAACCCCTGCCCAAATAAAAAACCCCAATAACAACAACAAACCAGATGGAAAAGCAAGATACTAGTCAAAGGCAGAGAAAGCCAGAGCTAGAAGAACAATGCAGAAGCAATAAGAGAAACAACTGGCCTCCAGGCTAAAGCAGACAAAAGGAAATTCAGTGTGTAGGTAACCCATGTGTTTCTCCCAGTTAATTTCAAGCAGTCTTCTGCTTGCAAAACTAAAACAGTACTTAGAATTTAAACATCTCACTTTTACTGAGTACCCGCTTATTCAAGATGTGCCCAGCAGCTGGAGGATATGAAGAAATTACACCCACCCCCACCCAGTCTTCCAAGTAGTAGGGAAATTAAATTTCAAACAAGGAGTGGGGTGGGGGTATGTCTGAGCCACAGAACAAAGCTATGTGGCTGTCACTCACACACACATCCGGGAGTACTGACAGTTTGGTCAGCCTGGTAGCCATCTTCCATGTTGTTGTAAGCCAGCAGCCTCACGTGGTATTTTCTTCTGGGATCTAGAAAGGAGACCAGCATTACTCATGGGGACCAGCTCTCTACAACACTCATGGGGACTAGTTTTCTAGCATCATTCATGGGGACCAGCCCTCCACAGCACTCATGGGGACCAGTATCCCAGCATCACTCATGGGGATCAGTATTCCAGCATCACTCATGGGGACCAGCCCTCCACAGCACTCATGGGGACCAGTATTCCAGCATCACTCATGGGGACCAGCTCTCCAGCTTTGAGCAGAAGCCCTGGCAGAGGTGCAGGTTCGGCATGAGCACTTTCTGAACATATGACAATTCTAAGAACAATGACCCTTTCTTTTTCTTTATCCAGACTCTCGCTATCACTATCTGCTGTAATACTGCCATAGGGACTACTAGTTTTCCTTAAAGTTGATCTGTTTAACCCAATTTCAAACCGCCCCAAACCACTCCTCTTCAAATGACCAATTTTTCACTAAATTTTTTATCTTTATTTTTATTATAAATTACATTTTATTTTATGCATGTTCGTGCATCCATGCCAACACACACACATGGAGGTAAGACAACTTTGAGTCAGTGTTTCTCTTTCCACTCTGAGTTCTAGATATCACTTTCACCAGGCTCGGTGGGAAGCAACCTCACCCGCTGAGCCTTCTCATCAGCTTTAGTTATTCATGTTTTTAAGAACAGGGTCTTGCCCAGGCTGTCTTCAAATTCACTATTTGTGAATTTGTACCCCAGGCTGGGCTTAAATTCCCCATAGAGTCCAGACTGGCTTGGAATTCTACCTCTCCTGACTCAGCCTCCCCTCCATGATGGGTCCCCAACGGTTATTTTATACAGATGTGTTTTGCTGTGGCAATTAAATTTGAGAGTAGTATTTTCTCCCTCAGAGTTAGGGAGAATAAGGACAAACACCCCTCAGTAGAACCTCTGAGTATTTTAAGTGGGTCTCTTCCAAGAAACCTCCATTTTCAAGCCCATATATAATTCGAGACAGGTGACCTGGAGCACCCTCTACTGGTGTCTGTTAGCTATCTCAACACTAAAATGGAACCCATCCCATACAGTTTTTTCAATGTACGTGAATATTCAAGTCATGTTTTTCCTTAAGCAAATGAAAAACATTCTCATTCATAGAACAGTTGAGGAATTCACAGTTGTCCCAAAGGCACACACACATACACCTATTAAAAATAACAAAAATAACCCCATAGTGAATTCATTTAAAACTTGAAAATAAATACATTTGTGAAATTCTCCAAAGTAATTTTTAAGATTTAGATATCTACTTTAGAAATTGGTAAATATTTTAATACTTTATATTAAAATATATTTAAAAAGATGTCCTGGGCAGACAAGAAGGCCCAGTTGGTAAAGGTGCCCATTGCCAAGCCTCACTACCTAACTTCAATCCCCAGGACTCACATAGTAGGACAGGAAATGCTGCCTCAAAAAACAAAACACTTCTGTGAGTTCGAAGCCAGCCAGTTCACACAGGGAGTTCCAGGGCAGCCAGAACTACCTTGTCTCAAGAAACCAGAAAACAATAACAAAAACAAAACCACAACAAAAACACCCAACCAAGCAAAATATGCAAAAAGACTTTGCCCACCTGAAAAACCCTTTTTTCTTTCTTTCTTTCTGTTTTTTTTTTTTTTTCTTTTTTGTTTTTTTTTTTTGGTTTTTCGAGACAGGGTTTCTCTGTGTAGCTTTGGAGCCTATCCTGGCACTTGCTCTGGAGACCAGGCTGGCCTTGAACTCACAGAGATCCGCCTGCCTCTGCCTCCTGAGTGCTGGGATTAAAGGCGTGTGCCACCAACACCCAGCTAAATAATTCATTTTTTATTTCATGTGCATTCATGTTTTATCTGCTTGCATGTCTGTGTGAAGGTGTCAGATCCCTTGAAACTGAAGTTACAAGCAGTTATGAGCTGCCATGTGGGTACTAGGAATTGAACCTGGGTCCTCTAGGAAGAGCAGCCAGTGTTCCTAACCACTGAGCCATCTCTCCAGTCCCAGACAAGTATTTTACAAAGTAATTACCAGAAAACACAAAACACTTGGATTTTATGACCCAAATAATTTACAACAATCAGCACCAAAATTCAAAAGGTTTTGGTTCAGATTAATGACTATTCAAATTTGATTCTATTTTCATCTTTCCAGTCCTTCTGTTGACTCTATCAGTCAACTGAATTCCAGGTTCCACCCTGCAGATACTCTGTGTTGCTACTAAGGGAACACTGCCCTAGATTCCCATGAACTCAGAGCGCAATGTTGGCAAATCTTTCTGTACTCAAGAGGCTGGATCTCTGGGAACATCTGCTGATGGTAGAATGGCACACTAGGGATGGGTAGACACAGAAAAGAGAATATGAGACAGACTTGCTTCAGAGCCCAACATGGTATAGCCGTTCTCATAGAGCATTGCCTGAGGAGGGCGTTAGAATGAGTGGAAGGCTCATTTCTCTGTTCTCTGGGATGGTTTGTGTATTTGCGCGTGTGCACTGTGTGTGTGTGTGTGTGTGTGTGTGTGTGTGTGTGTGTGTCTGTACGCACATATGCGTGCATTTGAGTGCATAAATATGTGTCTGTATGAAGTTATGGGCCCAGAGGTTGACACGGTGTGTCTTTCTGAGTTACCTCTCCATGTTATTTTTGAGGCAGGGGCTGACACAGAACCTAGAGCTTACCGACGCAGCTAGGATGGCTGGTCAGTGAGCTCCAGGGACCTACTTGAATTGGTCCATTCCTGGCTTCTAAGTGGGTGTTGGGGGTCCCAACTCAGGTCATCATGCTTGCATGGTAAACCTTTTAACAACTGAGCCTAGTGACACATTCCTGTATTCCCAGCCCCGGGAAGGCAGAGACAGGATCCCTGAGGTTTGCTGGCCAGTGTGTTTACCCATGCAGTGGAATAGAGGAAGACAGCCTCTGGCTCCACATACATAGACAGACAGACAGACAGACAGACAGACAGACAGACAGACACACACACACACACACACACACACACACACACACACACACCATGCACTCACATAAGTAAAAATAAAATTAAATACCCTTTAAAAAATGCTTTAAAGCCAGGCATTGGTGGCACACACCTTTAATCCCAGCACTCAGGAGGCAGAGGCAGTAGGTACCTTGTGAGTTCGAGGCCAGCCTGGTCTACAGAGTGAGTTCCAGGACAGATTCCAAAGCTACAAAGAAATCCTGTCTCAAAAAAACCAAACCAAACAAACAAAAAGCTTTAAAAGTTAGAAATGTATAAAAAATATTGAGTCAAGAGCGAAAGGCTCAAATAATTCAATTTAATATACATTAATCCTAATGTTTTTAGTAAAAAAAACATGTACATGTGTGCTTGGAATACACGTGGAGGCCAGAAAACACCTTTGTGGGATTCGTGCTATCCACCTTTGTGGGAATTCAAACTCTGGTCTCCAGAGTTTGGTCTCCAGATTTGGACGGCAAGCACCTTTATGCTTTGAGCCATGGTATTGGCCCCTAAATATTTTGCTTAGTAACAATTCCGATCCACAGCACTAGCTTGCATGAAGGTGACTGTGGTCTCCATCCAAAGGAATGGGCCTCATCTCTTCTAAGGAGTCAACTTCTAGTCAAAACGGGTCCTGACATGCTGCTGAGGTAAAGCCAGTGTCTCTTTGCTGGATCTGGAACTCACCTTCCTTCCCAATTCATTCTCTCCCACATGCTCATCTATTAGGACTATTAATCACAGGAGGCAGAGTGAGCCTGGCTGGCTGATGGAGAAAAGGCTCCCAGGTGCCAGGTGAACATTTACAGAGAGTCTGTCAAAAGTCAGGGGTTGTCTAAGACTCGAGGATTAAAACGACACAACTCTTGCTTTGACTTTGATTTTTTTGGTTGTTTTTTAAAATTATTTATTTTTATTTTATACACATTGTTGTTTTGCCTGCAAATATGTCTATATGCAGGAATCACACTCCTGGAACAAGAGTTACAGACAGCGAGAACTGTCATGTGGGTGCTGGGAATTGAACACTGGTCCTTAGAAGAGCAGTCAATACTCTTAAACACTGAGCCATCTCTCCATCCCTTGACTTTGATTTTTTAAGATTTATTTTTATTGGTTGGGCATTGGTGGCGCACACCTTTACTCTCAGCCCTCAGGAGGCAGAGGCAGGGGGATGTCTGTGAGTTGAGACCAGCCTGGTCTACAGAGTGAGTTCCAGGGCAGGATCTAATAAAACAATACAGAGAAATCCTGTCTTGGTGTGGGGGGGGGAGATTTATTTATTTATTTTTATTATGTGTACATGTGTCTGTGTAAGTAGGCCAGGGGCCCTTGAAGGCTGGAAGCGGGTTCCCCTGGAACTGGAGTTACAGGCATTTGTGAGCCTCCCAATGTGGGTGCTTGGAACAAAACTTGAGTTCTCTAGAAGAACAGTAAGCACCTTTTTAACCCTTAAGTCGTTTTTCCAGTCCTTGCTTTTCCTTAAAACATTTGTATGACATTTTAATTTTTATTTTATTATATGTGGGGGTGCACACATGCCAAGGTGGTCAGGTGGAGATCAGGGGACAAACAGACAGCAATTATTTTTTTCCACCAAGTGTGTTCCAGGGATCAAACCCAGGCCGTTAGTTTTCACATCAGGCGCCTTTAACCACTGAGCCATCTTGCTAGCCTCTGCTTTTACTCTGAATACACCAAAGGAGATACTAATAAAAACATTCTGCTGGGTATGGTGGTGCACACCTTTAATCTTAGTGCTAGGGAGACAGAGACATGCAGATCTCTGTGAGTTTGAGAGCCAGGTCTACATAGCAGGTTCCAGACCAGCCAGGGCCACATTGTGAGACCTTGTCTCAAAACAAAACATTCACAAACATTCAATATGTTTCACTTACCAACTATATAGATATAAGCAAGTTCCTGTTTCTTCTAAGCCTTGTTTGCAATTGGAACATGGAGATAAAAGGGGACCTTGTCGATACAGATTTTAAGAGCGTTAGCCCAGTAGGCATT